ACGAGAAAAAAGTGCGAGTTGCCATATTACTAGCATTGTAAAGCCTTTCTAAGGTGATGGGATGCAACTAAAATCTCTCCACATTTATGGATCGATATAGTCAATCAAATTAAACTAAAAATTTGCTTTTTAAATAAAAGATAAAAACATTTTCGTGTAACTAATTTAAAAGCGCCGAGACAAAGATATGACATTTTTTCAGTTCAAAATACTGTTTGTCCAATGCATGGGGAATATTGTCTGATTCATGGTGAATTCTGACTCATTTAAAAAAAATCTCTTTTGTCATTTCCTCAATAAATAGCATACAATCATGTCACAAATTTATATTTTAATAACATACTACATGTTATCCTCCATTTTGATAATATTCGGTCGGTGGTGATATACCTAGGACTTCTTCAAGTACGAGGGTGTCCGATGCATGGAGAATTCACCCTATCTTCAGAGTATGCAAAAATGAATTAAATTATGTTTAATAATTTGATTGATTGATTGATTGATTGTATATTGTTTTACGTCCCATTCGAGAATTTTTCACTCATATAGAGACGTCACCAAATACCGGTGAAGGGCTTCAAATTTTGACCTTTACTCGGCACTCAGGGCCATTGAGCAGTGAGGGATCTTTATCGTGCCAACGCCTGCCGTGACACGGGGCCTCGGTTTTTAAGGTCTCATCCGAAAGACCCGCAACTTTCACTTCAATGTGCCGAGGGCGTGGCGAAGGAACAGTTGCTACCTATTTTTTATCGACTTAGGTCTGTCGCGGCCGAGATTCGAACTCACGACCTCCCGATCACGGAGCAAGCGCTCTACCGACTGAGCTACCGTGAACGGTTTTAATAATTTGAAAACAACTCACTGAATCCTCAGCTGATTTGTTGAGACAGGTAAACATCCCCTCAAGGTATAATAATCATACATGATCCTCTACAAAAAGTTTTAACTTACATAAAACTTCATCACATAGTGTTAATTCATGTTTTTCCAAATCACGACCTCAGTGGGTAGGGTGGGGCCACAGTAGGGGATCAAAGTTTCACATGAGAATGTATTATAGGAAAAAAAAAATGTTCAAAAATCTTCTCAAGAACCACTGGGCAAGAAAACATTAAACTTATGTGAAAACTTCATAACATAGTGTAGAATCAAATTTGTTCTTTCAAAACTACTCCTCCTATACAGCTTTGACCCTGGATTTCATTAATACTTGGAGCACAAGTAGACTATACTAAGATACATAATTCTGTATATGGGTTTTTGATTTCCTTGAACACTGTTGCCATGGTTAGTAAAAAAAAAAGAAGATATTTTTTTGAAATTCATTCAAACTGCTACTTTTCCTAGAGTTTTGGTTCAATTTCAATGACTTTGAGCACAATCAGCCTTTTATAATGTACACAATTCAATGGTTAACAGTTTTTGATTTCCATGAATGATGTTTCCATGGTTATTAAAAGTAGATAAAAAATGCAGAAAAAACGTTATTTTTCAACCCTTATTTGCCCCCCCAAGATGAAAATGAAAATTCCGAAACATTGTACATCCACAGGTCACCATCAATCATCTTCCAAAAGATGATTAGGCTACTGCATAAAATGTAAAAGGAGTTCTGGGAACCAGGGGCTTTTTAGCTCTTCTGAGCCAAAGGCTCAAAGAGCTAATGCTATGGCCATTTGTGCGGTGTGCATAAACTTTTTAGAATATGGGTCATAACTCAAGAACCCCTTGGCCAATTATTGTCAAATTTGTCACAAGGTATCCTTGGCCCAAGGGCTCCCATTTATACTAAACCTAGGGTTGTGACCCTTAAACAAGGGGAGATAATTAGATAAATATAACCAAAAGTATTGGTTGCTAAAAATCTTCTTTTCAAGAACCACTGGGCAGATTATCACCAATCTTACACAAAAGGTTGAGGATATGTTGTAGATTAAAATTTGCAAGGGGATTTACCCTAGGGGCAACCTACTTTTCAATTTATTTGACTATAATTAAATATTTCGGGTACTAATTGGCTTAGAATCATTAAACTTTGTCAGTTCATGCATCTTGGGTCTTTGGAGTAGGTCGACTGAAAAGTAGGTCACCGTGTCCTAATTTTGAAAATTTATGGCTTTAATCAAATATTTTGGGTACTAATTGGTTTAGAATCATCAAACTTTGTCAGTTGATGCATCTTGGGTCTTCAGAGTAAGTCGACTGAAAAGTAGGTCACCATGACGTACTTTTGATATTTATGGCTTTAATTAAATATTTCAGGTACTAATTGGCTAAGAATCGTCAAACTTTGTCAGTTGATGCATCTTGGGTCCTTAAAGTATGTCATCTGAAAGGTAGGTCACTGTGACCTACTTTTGAAATTTTATGGATATAATATTAAAAATATTTTAGGTATTAATTGGCTTAAAATCATCAAACTTAGTTGATGCATCTTGGGTCCTCAGAGAATGACAAGTGATAAGTAGGTCACCATGACCTACTCTCAGGTACTAATTGGCTTAGAATCATCTTGGGTTCTCATAGTGTTTCATCTAAAATGTAGGTCATGATGACCTACCTTTGGAATTTCAAGGCTTTATCTAAATATACAGGATACTTAGAGGCTTCAAATAGAAGTGATAGGTTGTACAGTTTATCAGAAGAGTGATTCAATGCCCTTGGGCCTCTTGTTTGTACAAAAAAAAACATTTTTCGACCCCCATTTGACCCCCAGGTTGATAATGAAAATTCCAAAACCTTATTGCACATCTATAGGACACCACCAATCATCTTCAAATAGATAATTAGGCTACTGCATAAGATATAAGAAGTTGTGGGAACCAAGGTCCTTTTTTTTTTCATAAAAAATCTCATTTTTTGACCCCCAGGTGAAAATGAAAATTTCAAAATATTGCACATCTACAGGACACCACCAATCATCTTCAAAAAGATGATTAGGTTACTGCTTAAATTGTAACAGGTGTTCTGGCAACCAGGGTGTTTTTGTATAAAAAAAAATGTCATTTTTTTGTCCCCCATTTGTTCCCCAAAGTGAAAATGAAAATTCCAAAACCTTATTGCAACAGGACACCACCAATCATCTTCCAAAGGATGATTAGGCTACTGCATAAAATGTAAGGGGGTTCTGGAAACCAGGTTTTTGTAGAAAAAACATCATTTTTGGGCCCCCTATTTTGCCCCTGGGTTAATATTTAAAATTCCAAAACTTTATTGCACATCTACAGGACACCTGACCTATCATATTCCAAAAGATTAACTGGTTCCAGCTTAAAATAAAAGAAGAGTTTGAGGAAGAAGAAAGTGTGACAGACGGACCAGGGTAGCAACAATATACTCGAACTTTCTTTAGAGAGTATTAGTTCGCAATACAACAACAAGAGGCCCAAGGGCCTTAACGGTTACCTGATTATAATGTAACGATCCATAGATTAAAACAAAATAAGCGGATAAATGAAGCTATGTTTGCCCAAAAGCAAGAGAAATAGGATGAACAGGGATCACCAAAATATTAATTTAGTACTCAGTAACAAATCTTAAAGTTGATCTATTTATTTGCCTGTACTTTTCCCCATTTGTCACTATCCTCATGCTGACTAAACAAAACTATAGTTCTAGAGCACTATTAGTTAACACATTTCATTCGAATTCCCCCTCACATTGGCCTCTCTAGGTCTTTAAGGATTAAATTATGTAATGTACAAATATACGGTATTTTTGTCTCATTTTCATTCATCTATTATTTAAAATTCTACCTGACCATTAAAAACTATGAAAGTACTTTTTGGATTAAATATTATAAAAATACTGTATAATTCTGTTATTCAGTTGATCTTCTAAATTACATTATGTACAGTAATTGCCTCCTAGATGCCCAGGAGCAGAGAAGAAGATTTTCAAAGAAATAATCCATTTTCACTATAGATTCAATATAGCCCAACCCTAATACCAGAGCCCCTGACCCAGGGGACAAGATATTCACAGTTTTGGACGAGGCACCGTTGCTCATCATAACCATGCACTTAATATGTTTCCTTAATAACAATGGACAGAGAAGAAGATTTTCAAAGAAATAATGCATTTCTACTATATATTTAGAAGAGCCTCACCCTAACATCAAAATCCCTGACCCCGGGTTATGAATTACAAACTTTTTGAAAAGACATCCTTGCTCATCATAACCATGTGATTAGTTTTTCTGTTAAATACCCAGGGACAGATTTTCAAAAAAATATTTCCACTATATATTCAATATACCCCCACCCCTACATGAATCCCTGACCATGGGGCCAAATTTTTTACAATTTTTGAAGAGGCATCCTTGATCATCATAACCACGCACCTTAGTTTTTCTGCTAAATACCCAGGGAAGAGAAAAAGATTTTCAAAGAAATAATGCAATTTAACTATATAATCAATAGAGCCCGCCCTTACACCAGGACCCCTGACCCAGGGGCCAAGATATTCACAATTTTGGAAGAGGTGCCCTTGCTCATCATAACTATATAATTGGTTCATCTGCTAAATACCTAGGAGCAGAAGAAGATTGTCAAAGAAATAATGCACTTTCACTTTAAAATCAGTAGAGCCCCCCTCCCCCCCTTCGTCCTGCAGAACCCCCCACCCTGGGGCCACAAATTTCACATTTGGAAGAGGCGCCCTTGATCATCATAACCATGCACCTAGTTTATTTACTTTATAAACAGGGGGAGAGAAGAAGATTTATAAAGAATTTATTAATTTTCACTATAGGATCAAAAGAGCCCAGCCCTAACTGAACAAACGGTGAACACGAGAGCATGGTGAACGCTGAATGCAAAATTATGAACGGAGAGCAAACAGTGAACGCACGCTGAACGAACAGTGAGCGAACAGAAAAATGAAAAAGTAGAACGTTTCAGGGACTGTAACCAACAAACAAGTTATTAACAAGTTTGAACACTTAACAGAAAAGATATCTTTTCAATTTTTATAAGTATGTTTTTGTTTCATTACAGTTTGGTTGGACTCATGTTACTTTGCTGATCATTGTGACCCAGTCCCATCTGATTATTCACAATGTGTTTGAGGGACTTATTTGGTGAGTAGGGTTTTCTATTTTCTATCCCATGCTTACTTTTGTAATATAAACTAGTTTAGTTGCTAGTCAAACATTTTCATCCATTTTCACCATGGTGAAATTTCCTGATTTTTTCAAAAGACTGATTTACAAATAACTTTTGTGGTTTGGGAACAAATTATGAAATATAAATTACACAGAAGTGTTAGAAATTTAAAATAAACATTTGTATAATTTAGTTATTCACATAATCAATATCTCTAAATGCCTGTATACACGCACTGCAATTAAGGATGACATTTACTCACCTAATGGGCAGGATTTTAGTTAAGATGGCAGAAACAGATTGCTATAAAGTACAACATCTTAAATCAAAATAGCTAAATGGACAAAAATAACCATTTTGTTCATTAATATAATTTAATTTTTAGCTCACCTCAATGAAGTTGGGGGAGCTTATGTAATACACATGTACCGTCGGCATCCCAGGTTAAAGTTTTTGAAGCAAATTTCTTTTCAAGTACTTCTTTGACCTATATCAATCAGAGGTGCATGGAGGATGCCTCTAGTGTGTTTCATTGTACCAGTCAAGGTTTCAGATGCTGCAATTTCAGCAAAAGAATGACCAGGTTATTTTTAGGTCACCTGAGTCACTCTGGTGACCTATTGCTATCCTTTTTCGTCTGTTGTTGTGCGACGTGCGTTAACATTTGAACATTTTTAGCTTCTTCTCTGAAACCGCTCAACCAATTTCAACCAAATTTGGTATATAGCATCTATGGGTGAAGGGGAACAAAACTGTGAATTTCATGTTCCCTGCCCCCCTGGGGCCTGAGGGGTGGGGCTAAAACCACCAAAATTAATGCAATCTTTAAAAATCTTTTTCTTTACTCCTGGACATCAAGCAGTCAAACTGTTGGCATGATTGTAATAAGCATTGAGCCTTCTACCAAAATTGTGAAATTCATGGCCCCAGGGTCAGGGGTTCTGGTGCTAGGGCGGGGCTATATAGTGAAAGTGCATTATTTCTTTGAAAATCTTCTTCTGTGCTCCTTGGTATCAAATAAACTAACTAAGTACATAGTTATGAAGAGCAAGAGTGCCTCTTCCAAAATTGTGAATTTCATGGCCCCAGGGTCAGGAGTTCTGGTGTAAAGGGGGGGGGCTCTATTGATTATATAGTAAAAATGCATTAATTCTTTGAAAATCTTCTTCTCTGTTCCTGGGTATTAAATAAAGTAACAAAGTACATAGTTATGATGAGCAAGAGTGCCTCTTCCAAAATTGTGAATTTCATGGCCCCAGGGTCAGGAGTTCTGGTGTTAAGGGGGGGGGGGGGCTCTATTGATTATATAGTGAAAATGCATTAATTCTTTGAAAATCTTCTTCTCTGTTCCTGGGTATTAAATAAACTAACCAAGTATAAAGTTATGATGAGCAAGAGTGCCTCTTCCAAAATTGTGAATTTCATGGCCCCAGGGTCAGGGTTTCTGATGATAGGGTGGGGCTCTATTGATTATATAGTGAAAATGCATTAATTTTTTGAAAATCTTCTTCTCTGCTCCTGGGTATTAAATAAAGTAACAAAGTACATAGTTATGATGAGCAAGAGTGCCTCTTCCAAAATTGTGAATTTCATGGCCCCAGAGTCAGGGGTTCTGGTGTTGGGGGAGGGGGGGGGGGCTCTATTGATTATATAATAAAAATGCATTAATTCCTGAAAATCTTCTTCTCTGCTCCTTGGTATTAAATAAAGTAACTAAGTACATAGTTATGATGAGCAAGAGTGCCTCTTCCAAAATTGTGAATTTCATGGCCCCAGGGTCAGGGGTTCTGGTGAAAGGGGGGGGGGGCTCTATTGACTATATAGTGAAAATGCTTTAATTCTTTGAAAATCTTCTTCTCTGCTCCTGGATATTAAATAAACTAACTAAGAACATAGATATGATGAGCATGGCTGCCTTTTCAGAAATTGTGAATTTCATGACCCCTGGGTCAGGGGTTCATGTGTTGGGGGGAGGTCTATTGATTATCTGCATTAATTCTTTGAAAATCTTCTTCTCTACTCCTGGGTATTAAATAAACTAACTAAGAACATAGATATGATGAGCATGGCTGCTTTTTCAGAAATTGTGAATTTCATGACCCCTGGGTCAGGGGTTCATGTGTTGGGGGGGGGGGGGTCTATTGATTATCTGTATTAATTCTTTGTAAATCTTCTTCTCTACTCCTGGGTTTTAAATAAACTAACTTAGTGCATAGTTATGATGAGCATGGTTGCCTCTTCCAAAATTGTGAATTTTATGGCCCCTGGGTCAGGGGTTCTGGTGTCATGGTGGGGCTCAATTGTTCTATATAGTGAAAATGCATTATATCTTTGAAAATCTTCTCTCTCCTGGATATTGAATAAACTAAGTACATAGTTATGATGAGCATGGCTGCCTCCTCAGAAATTGTGAATTTAGTGGCCCCTGGGTGAAGGGTTCTGGTGTTAGGTCAGGGCTCTATTGATATATAAGGAAAATTAATGCATCAATTCTTTTGAAATCTTCTTCTCTGCTCCTTGGTATTGTTCAAACAAAGGAAGTGCATGGTTATGATAAGGAAGAATGCCTCTTCCAAAATTGTGAAATTCATGGCTCCTGGGTCAAGGGTTCTGGTGAAGGGGGGGGGGGGGCTGTATATTGATTTTATAGTGGAAATGCATAATTTCTTTTAAAATATTTTTTCTACTACTGGTAATAAAGCAAAGAAACAAGTGTATAGTTATGATGAGCAAAGTGCTTCTTCCAGAATTATTAGTACATGGCCCCTGGGTAAGATGTTCTGGTGTAAAGGGGGGGGGGCTTTATTTATTTAATAACATCATGAACTTCTATTCCTCTGGGCATATTCGAGGCAAACAGAGTAAAAATTTTATCTTTTTAGGTCACCTGAGTCACTCAGGTGACCTATTGCTATCTGTTTTGGTCCGTCGGCGTGCGGGTGTGCGTCGTGCATAAACTTTTCACATTTTCGACTTCTTCTCAAGAACCACTGGGTCAATTTTCACCAAACTTGCCACAAACTATCCTTGGGTAAAGATGATTCAAGTTTGTTGAAATGAAGGGCCACGCCTTCTTCCAAGGGGTGATAATTAAGAATTAGTGAAAAATTAATGGTGTCTTTTAAGAATCTTCTTCTCAAGAACCACCGGACCAGGTAAGATGAAATTTGTATGGAAACATCCTCAGGTAGTGTAGACTCAAGTTTGTTCAAATCATAACCCCGGGGGTAGGGTGGGGCCACAATGGAGGATCAAAGTTTTACATAGAAATATATAGGAAAAATCTTTAAAAATCTTCTTGTCAAGAGCAGCTAAGCCCTGATTGCTCATATTTATGTGGAAGCATCTTCAGGTGGTGTAGATTTGATTTTGTTAAAATCATGACCCCCGGGGGTAGGGTGGGGCCACAATGGATGATCAAAGTTTACATAGAAATATATAGGAAAAATCTTTTAAAATCTTCTTCTCAAGAACAGCAAAGCCATGATGAGTCATATTTATATGGAAGCATTCTCAGGTAGTGTAGATTCAAGTTTGTTCAAATCATGACCCCTGAGGGTAGGGCGGGGCCACAATGGATGATCAAAGTTTACATAAAAATATATAGGAAAAATGTTTAAAAATCTTCTCAAAAACAGCAAAGTTGTGATGAGTCATATTTATATGGAAGCATCCTCAGGTATTGTAGATTCAAGTTTGTTCAAATCATGACACCCATGGGGTAGGGTGGGACCACAATGGATGATCAATGTTTTACATGGAAATATATAGGAAAAATCTTTTAAAATCTTCTTCTCATAAACAGCAAAGCCATGATTGATCAATATATGGAAGCATCCTCAGGTAGTGTAGATTCAAGTTTGTTAAAATCCTGACCCCCCCCCCCCCCCCCCCCCCGGGTAGGGTGGGGCCACAATGGGGAATCAAGTCTTACATAGGAATATAAAGGAAAATTTCTTCTTCTCAAGAACTGCAAAGCCATGATTAGTCATTTTAATATGATCAAAGTTTTACATAGAAGTACATAGAAAAAATCATTAAAAATTGAAAAAATTCTTTTCTCAAGAACAGCAAAGCCATGATTGGTTATATTTACATTTACCTACATTTTCCGGATTAGTGACCAGGTTAAATTTTTAGGTCACCTGAGTCACTCAGGTGACCTATTGCTATCTCTTTTCGTCCGCCATCGTGCGTCGTCCGTCGTTCGTAAACTTTTGAACATTTTCAGCTTCTTCTCTGGAACCAGTGAACCAATTTCAACCAATTTTGGCATATAGCATCTATGGGTGAAGGGGAACAAAAATTTTGAAATTCGTGGCCCCTGCCCCCCTGGGGCCTGAGGGGTGGGGCCAAAACCATCAAAATTAATGCAGTCTTTAAAAATCTTCTTCTTTACTCCTGGACATCAAGCTGGTGCTAGGGCGGGGCTATATAGATCATATAGTGAAAGTGCATTATTTCTTTGAAAATCTTCTTCTCTACTTCTAGGTATTATTGAAACAAATTAAATACATAGTTATGATAAGTAAGAGTGACTCTACCAAAATTGTGAAATTCATAGCCCCAGTGTCAGGGGTTCTGTTGCTAGGGCGGGGCTATATAGATCATATACCGTATATACTCGCCTATAAGTCGGTTGCATTTTTTAAGCTTATATTAGAGGGATTGACCCTCTAAAATACCAATCATTTTATGACTCGCCTATAAGTTGGACACAGAGTTTTGGACCAAAGTGAACTCCCAAAAAAACGACTTATAGGGGAGTATATACGGTAGTGAAGGTGCATTATTTCTTTGAAAATCTTCTTCTACACTCCTGGGTATTATTTAAACAAATTAAATACATAGTTATGATGAGCAAGGATGCCTCTTCCAAAATTGTGAATTTCATGGCCACTGGATAAGGGGTTCCGATGTTAGGGCGGGGCTCTATTTATTTATATAGTGAAAATGCATTAATGCTTTAAAAATC